CATGTCTGTGACATGTAACTCCCCAGAGTCAAAGTTCAGTTTGAACTGAGATGATGGGGAAGCATGGCACTCTGATCTGATCCAAGATAGACCCATCAATTCTTATTGATCTTTTTATTATTCATTCATCTGATCCTCATATTCACCTTCAAAGATCCTCAACCTCAACAACCGCCACAGAACTCAATTTCTGTTGTCTCCTCTCAGAAAACCAACCAACCCCAACACGTTTTGTTCAGATCACAGCTCAATTTATCCGGACCCCACTTGAAGGCAGCCCTCAAAGCACCATCCCTTCAACCAACTGCCTACCGCCTGGCACGATAGGAGTTCCACACCGATGAGCTCGATCAGCAGCTCCGCCTCCCCTCCACACGGATACCGAGCAGTGTCCAAATGCCGAGCTTCCAGCAACTGTCGAGTCAGCTAGCCCCAATGGTCTCCCTACAGGATGCCAATGGGGGCTATTTGCGCACAGCGGTCGTCCTGACACATGCTAACTGATGAAAAACAGGAATGATTACTAAGAATAGAACCAGAACTGAAACATGAAAAATAACAAGAGTTAGACAATTTCAATGACAAGAATCAAAAATTAACAATAACAAGAAAGAAAAAGAAAATCACCACGAGTTGAGCTGTCTTTTGACTTAGGCAGAAGAGAAAGACTGAAATATACGAGATCAAACAGAGACAAATAGTAGACACTGTTTTTGAAAGAGAGATAGAAAATTAGGAAAGAAAAGGTTAATGTTTTGTTCGAGGGTGAGTATGAGAACTTTGATGATGTTTTTCTCACCAAATTGGCAGTAGCCAAATGAGTATTTCGAGAGAGAGAGTCGGCGGAATAAGGATGAGAGGAGGCTGAGTTGAGTTTGATATGAATTGAAATCGTCGCCGATGGGAGTGAGCAAGTAGGGAGATGAGGGAGAGAATGTAGAGAAAGAGGGAAGAGAAGAAGCGTAGTCGAATGGAAATGAAGAGAGGAATTGTTGAGGTATATGATGATTGAGAGAGAGTGTGAGGATAGACCGAGCAGTGGATTTTGTTTTGGAGATTTCAGAGGATAGGGTCGATGGTGAAGTGTCGGAGACTGCTGGGGAAAGAAGCCGAAGAAGAGACAGGAGAGCCCATCTTAAGTACTATTTTGAGAGGGCGTTCGACTTGTGGTTTTGTCTGAGTTGATTAGGTCTGTTGCGGTTATGTTGAAGTGAACGCAAGGCGATGACGAGTTTGGAGACGGAGTTGTTTGGAGGAAGGAGGCGGTTGACGAGTATGAAGACGAGGCGTTGTTTGAAGAAGAAGTCGGAAGAAGGAAGAGAGAAGCGGTAAGAGTGAAGAGAGTGGAGAGAGAGAATTACAGAGCGGAGAGCGCAAAGAGCGCAGAGAGCGCAGAAATTCCAACACTAACAGGCTTGTCAAAACCAAGGTTTATCTAACCGAGCTTCTTCTGAGTTATTTCTGTTGTTTCAGGCAGTTCAAGTAGTCTGTCCACTTTTGTCATTATTTGTTAGTTTGTTTGTTTTCCCATTGTTGTACCACTGCACTGGATTGGATAATCTCCAAGCATTGTTCACAAAGCACAATTTATCAATAGATTCAAATGATGGATTAATTGAGACATCATGATCAGGGAGAACCAAATGAGAGCAGAAGTTAATTGTAAAGGTGCGAGAAGAATCAAAAGAGGAATTAATCATTCAATCAAGCAGATGAGTCAGACAAGTAGGATGAGGCAGGTGAGTCAGATGAGTAAGTGAGCCGATCAACTTGATCTTCAACCAACGGAAGCATTTTCTCAAATACAGTCCATGTATTTCCCACCAAAATTTCTGTAAAATCGATACCAATCAAGTGAAGAACCTTGCTCGCCACTGCATGAAACCATTTGGGGGTGTGTTCAAACATCGCAATCCGGTCTGGAAAGTCGGCTTTTAGGATTGATTTGATATGTTTTCCTGGAATCTTGACAAGCTGATCAGTTGTCCCTTTGCTTTCAGGAGTACTATAACAAAAATCCGCACTTCAGCCTGTTGGGAGTGTGGTTCGATGGTCGAGACACCTTTTGGAATGGTTGTATATATCAACCCAGATGTCAACACTGGATTGAAAAACCGGAATCCACAAAAAGAGGAACAAAAGTCTAACATTCCAGTGTCAGATATGAAAACTGGTTCATGATGAATCAAACGGATGACTTACTTTTGAAGCTCATTGTTGGGGTCATAAATTCCAATCATAATTGCATGTTTGATGTTGTCAATGATAGATCAATTGTGTTGTTTCATCATCTGAGACCACAAAGCCTCAATCTTCTGATTGTGTGTAGATTTTGTAAAGTGCATTTGTTTTTTGGCTTCCTCGGCATTAACTCCAGCAAATCAATTGGACAACCACAATTGGTAAGTCCCCATAGTTCTGGTCTCTGATCCAACGTCACTCATAACCTTCTGTGGTATTCCGCCAATCTTCAATGCCAGGTCAAGAAAGTATACTCCAATGTGATGTGGATCATTGTTGGTCACATGAACAAACATTTCCAAAATTTTTCTCACCCACGCATCTATGAATCCATACACGCATATTCCATACTTCTTCAGTTTATCGTGTCCATCACAGGCCCAGATGTGATTGGGACCATGGGTTCAATAAACACGGCGAACACAAGCATGATGGAGACGTGCGGCCATACCATCAGGATTGACCTCCTTGAGAACATCATAAACCATTTGTCTAATAGAAAGTTAGGAACTTTAGCTAAGACTAATTGCAGTGGGGGAAAGACAGGTGCATACCTTGGAATCCGTATTTTGTATTGACACATTAAAATAGTTCTCATCCGTCAATATCCAGTGTTATCATGAAGCAGACTGTTTCTTGCATGTTCAACAGCTTCAAACACTCGTTCCATTGTAACATTTCCCTCTGCTACATCGTTAACAAGGAGTTTGGCCCCAAGCCTCCTTAAGTAGCGCTTGACCGTCCTAGTACACACATCAATTTTTGCTTTCTTGAGTAATCGAGCTTGTATTTCCACAAGGTTCAGGCCCTTTGCATGAGAAAACAAGATTGAGGCTCAAATGAGAGGTGATAAGGGGGGCGGTGGAAGCTTTTGAAGGTCTTTTGCTCGCAGGTTCCATAATTTCCGCTTTCAAGATAGTGTCCGAAGTGACATGATCACTCCATGATCCTGTTTTAGAATCTTGATAATTTGGGGACCTCTGTGTCCCAAGGCCAGAAGTTTCTGGAGGATTTTCTTTTCCGAGTTACTAGTCGAAGCGCCGCTGGATGAGTCGTTGCTGGAATCAGAATCAGAATCACGCTGTTGGAAAAAGTCATCATCTTCATCATCGGATCCACTGTACTCGGAGTAGTTGGACGTAAGTGGATCATCATCATCACTACAAGCAAGGTGATGTTTGCTATGAGAAGAATCATCTTTGTTTGAGGATGAGTTATCTTGATTGGAGGATGAATCATCTTCATCGGAACAGTGATTGTGTTGATGGGAGACTGAAATGTCTTCTTCGGAATTTCGACTGTGGTTGGAGATATCATTTTCGTTGGCAGAGCTTGTTTCTTCCTAACAACTTTCATTTGAGGCCAAATAGTCAACATGCTCTTTGTCAGAGTCGGTAGCATCTGAGCCATCTTCACTTTCTTCACTGGAGTTGGATGGTTTGCGATGGTTGTAACTCGAGCTGATCAGGTAGGAATCTTCTTCTGAGCAGGAGTCGTTTTCATCTTTATCATCGGCATCAGAACAGCGCTCATTGCTGTCATCGGAGTTGGAACAGCTGGAAGACCCCGTGGTTGAGCCGTATAGGTGACAATTGAAGATATTGGTATCTGGCTGATCATCACTTGTGTTGGGATCATCTGAGTGGTCTTCATCAGAGTTGCCAGTGGCCTTTGATGAGATCGAAGGGCTTTTTGGAGAGGCATTGGATTAGGAATGGAAATCATCTGATGAGGAATCCTCATTTGGGGAAAACCTCGGCATATTGATGTGATGTGTTTGTTTTTGCTACTAAGGAATCGATGGGGGGGGGAGCTGGATTACACATTTTACCTCCGAAGATAATACATGAAAATACATTATGGTGAGGTGAAACATGTCAAGTGTTGTACAGTAGGTTGCGTGATTTTTTGGTGTTTTGGCAGGGGGGTTGATAAGTCAGGTTGGCGCAAATGTTGTCCCCTATGGGCTTGCCTATAAAAGTGCATCGGGTGGACTGATTACAGCATCGTGGACTGTCAGATTGACGTCTCAACCCCCCAGAAATTAATAAAAAAAACTCAGATTTTTCCAAATTTTGGGTCCCGACCATTCAGACATCCCAAAATCCTATACAGTACAATGCCGCGTGCCACTGTATTCACTTGGGAGAGGCACCCTTTTTGACCCCTGATTTGCATGTAAACACCCAGAATTGGCAATTTCCATGTCTTTTGCATCAATTTCACTAGTGTCAGCTACAGTTGCACGCCACCAGATCACTACTGACTTTGATGTATTATGTATTGAATTACAAACACTTTGGAACCATTTGATTGACCCCTGATTTGCATTAAAAACACCCAAAATTGGCCATTTTCGCGTCTTTTGCATCAATTGTACTCTCATTTATTGGTACCAGCCACCACATCACCAGTGGTTTTTACCGCAAATATTATCAATAAAACTCATAAGAGAAGAAAAACAAGGCTATGGGATAACCACTATACACACATCTGAAACTACTCTACACATGGGGGAAGTACATTATGTTTGTAGTGTCAATTTACAAAAAAACAGAGTTTGAAGATTTGATGATTGAACATAGACTAGTGATGCCTTCCAAAAAAAATGAAAGTGATCATTCTTGGAAATTACTTGGTTGCATATGTGTGGACCAAGACTCTTCCATTTGGTCCTTGAGTCCCTTTTAAATTCACTGAACCGTGCTGTTAGAGAGGGGGGGGGGGCAGAGCTGCAGTGTCAGGATATATTGATTTTGCGTGGATGGTCACATAAAAGCCAAGGTATGTATGTAAATCAATTTCTCACCTTCCTATCACATTCTTGGATCATTCTAGTGATGATTTGGGTAGAATCTTTCTTATTCCTGCTCACCCAAAAAAAGGATTTAGCACCAAAGCAGTCCCCATAGTCATGGTTTTTTTATTACTTTAGATGACTTACAATTGAAAGACGGATCCATCCGTAGAGGTGAAAGCTAACTATAATCAAAATCACTCCGCTCAGTATGTTAAAGAATATTTTGCTCATGTGGAAGTTTTGGATTGATGTGACTTTGTTGACTGACGCTGCATGATCCAAAGACGACTACCATTACCGTGAGCGTGAGCGGGTGATCAGATTTGTCAGTCAAGCGTCCTTGGGCATCGGTGGGGATTTGATTGTAGGCTCTTGATTAGGTTGATCAGCCAAGATGAGGAATGTCAATGGGTGCAGGAGGAGCTTAAGGATTAACATGGCAAAGCATAGTTGGTTGCAATAAAGAAATTGACGCACTTAATACAATCATCCTTAAGTTTCACTTCTGGATCTCCTTTTGGCAGATAGCAGTACGGCTTGTTCAGCTCGGCGTTTGCATTCCATGCCTCCCATTGTGTGCCTGCTGGGGCACGTGCTTTGACGGCCACCTTGACCTTCCGGTTACTTGGAACCTCCACCAAACCACCCTGTCAGAGACAACAAACAACATTTTTTTTAGAAAGTGTATTCATAAGAGTGACTTGTTGTCAGTAACACATCAGACTTCGACCAGATTCAACCCTCCCAAGAAAAAAGGCCCCCACGTACCTTGCCATGACATTGCTTGAAAAGCTCAGAAAGACCGCTTTTGATGAGGTCTTTTGTACTAAACATGTCAACAAGGTCAAGATTTTGTAATCCATGCGAAACAGTCAGAATCAGACAATCAAAACTGATTTAATCTATCAATCTATATGTACTCATACCCACTCACACAACCTGTTGATGTGAATTAATGACGATTAGCTGGTGGGAGAAGCGGCAATTAATCAGTAAGAGGTTGAGAGGATGTCCTGCCAGTATTTTTGTCCAGATTGATAGAACCAAAAAACAGCCGAGATATGGCACTCACACTACAAGTATCCGATACTGCTGCTACTTCGGTTTCAATCATTGGAAGTTTTCCATCCTGAAATATAATCTTGTCGATCGCTCTAAAAAAACGAGTTTTAGGCCGAAGAACAGTTGATTGAGAATTCCTAGCGATAATGAAAAATTGTCAGCAGAATACGTAAAAAAACGCACCCATTACAATGATTTTCGTTTGCCGGCCATGGAGCACATATTGCATTCACAGTGGAGGTTAGTAGCAAGCTGATTACGGCAATCAATACCAATTGATAAGAAAGCATTTTTTTTTGCCCTGTGAAGTGTAACAAGATGATTTCTAGAGGGTGTTTGAAAGCGCTTTTTGTGGTGACAGGTACGACAATTCGGTGCAAGTTAAACACTCGCCAGATGTATGGAGTACGAGTCTGTTTATATACACGAGGTGAGGGTGAACCGCGAACCTTAGCTACTGGGGCGGGTGTTGGTTACTGAGTTCTCTGCTCATCTGTGCCCATTGGGCCGTCTTCTCAAAACAGGAGTTAGCTCTAGGATTCCAGGAATGTGCCTCGTCTGTCCAAGTTTATCGCTTCACTTCCATACATAAGAATGACAATGGCCCCCAATAAGGCGGGCGGCTATGACAACCAATACCATACTGTAGTGTGTAACCTTGCAGTCACTCTGAATTGGCAGGGGGGAGGACGCCATCCCCACAGGATCCAAGCCGATCAAGACACCCGTCGGTTTATATCGATTGCGAGCCGCACACAACCATCCGACTTTCTTCTTCTTTTTGTTGAAAGGCTATACTGTGTAAAGCTAGGCATGAAACACGGCTGATTTCTTCTTCATTCATCGGATTGCTCCTGTTGCGCACTGCCCACTCGGTGTGGGTTCACTGCCAAGACACCCATCTCCAGCCACCGTCATGTAGGCCCGTAAAGCAGCTTCCCCGGCCCGGTTCACATCCACATTTGAAGGGTAGCCCGCTAGCCGGAAAGACAGTAGATCCTATGCCCAGCTTAACACGGCATCGAAGTCGCACTGAGAAACCTTCTACATGCTGTTAAGGCCGGCCGAAGAGAGCATCGTCCTGCAGCGGGCACGTTTGTGCCCTCTGAAACGAGTGAAAACCTTCAGCAAAACCCAATTTTCGAGGCTGTATTGCTTGGTAACGAACGTTAATGAATGAAGTCCTTCAGCCTATCGAGGGACTTCAACGACTTAAGATGTATCACAGGTTCCACTTCCTTAGCGAACACGGAGCGAGCAGAGCATAGAGCCTCCTTCAATGCTCGAGTTGAAGATGAACTTTCAGGGGCGCCCATTCCCAATATTTCACAGCTTTAGGTGCTTAGATCAAGCCACCATAACCACCGGCAAAGGTTCGCCAAAGCTCGAGTTGAACATCAAAATTTGGTTGCTCGGTATCTAATTTCCAAGGGTTCAAGTGTACGCAAAAACCTGAGCTACCTAGGTTGGGACTGACCATGCTAGTCAGGTAGCATCCTACAACTCTAAGCCGGACTGGAGTATCAAATGTGAGTTGATTGGGAGCCTTTACATAGACGCTAAATATGATCACATTCACAGCGCCGAATGGCGCATTGGCGAGCAATTATTTGTAAAATTGGTACCGGTACAACTTTCATAATGTGTACCCAGGTGGGGAATCAAGGTCAAGGCTGCTATGTAGGAGCCTAGGACTCCGATTCCGAAGCGGGCCTAGAGCTGAATTCTGTAGTATTTTCTCATGTTCTCAAGGAGAGGTTTCGACTTGGAAAGGATCAGCTTAGATCTGCCAAGACCCGAGCTTTGGGTTTAGTTTACCCCCGCCCAGAGGGAGGATTCGTTAGCCTGGAGAAAATCGGCCCCAGTGGCCTTCTGGTGCTGCCCGGGTCGAGCCTTGCTAGTGCTACATAGGCATGCATAATACATGGTCTTCGGATTGAAGTTAAAGAGTGTTATAACCTTGAGTTGGTGCTAAATAGTTAGCACCATAAAAAAGGTCGGAGTATGTACAAAGTGTGATATCGCACACAACTCATCACTGCTCTTTCTCGTCGCCATTCTTGCCCGAAAATTTATTATCTCACTTTAAGATGGCGTTTTTCAGATCTTGGAATCCTGATTCCTGACCCCGATATATCTTTGGAAGGGCTCCTCCACGATTGTGCCCTCAATCTGCGATTTTTTCAATCTTTCCAAATTGACTTCGCTTCATTCATATCACCCAATGGCTGCTGCTACTAGGATGTGGAAATCATTCCAAGCAAACCACTCATTTCACCTGGTTGCGACTTTAACTGGGCTTAGTTTTGCGCTGATGGGGTACGAGAATGGCCTCTTTGGTTTGTGGATGAGCTACTCTGTCTGAGGAAGGGATATACATTTATCTCATTCTATTTCACAGGTGGTCTCACTGACAATCCGCAATGGAAACAAAGATTCGGTTACCCTTCAAGACTTAGCATGTTGAGTTATGTTTACATCTGGCGGCCACACCAGGAAAATAGTTAAACTTAGATATTGAAACAGGTCAACGATTGTTGCTATCTACCAAATTGGCTGCCTCACTGGATCTATGGTCACCTCTGTATGTGGAGAAGCGCTCGGTCGAAAAATGACAATCAGGCTTGGTGCCATCTGGATGTCAGGCGGTGCCCTCTTACAAACCCTTTCCCTTTCGAGTGAAACCCTCATTATTGGTAGGATACTTAGCGGGATCGGAATGGGTACGGAATTTTCCTATTCGAAACTTACTATGAAATGCAAAATACTCAAATTGTAAGCATTTTGATTTGAATTTCCAGGTTTTATCAGCTCTACGGCCCCTGTACTGCTGGCAGAAGTTAGTCCATCAGCAAAGAGGGGAAAATGTGAGTCTTCCGTAAGATATCTATGGAGAGCAACATTAATCTGGGAAACGCACTGACCAAGCCCTCTTGATCCAGATGCCTGCGCTCAACTTTCAACGCTTAACTTGGGAATTTGTCTTAGTTACTGGATGGTCGGTTATGATATTTTGGTATCCCTTGTTGAGGCCGACAGGTCCCATCATGTTTTTCATTGTACAGAAAGCTAGCCTAAAATACATGCCTTTCTTGCGAAGAGAAATTGACATTTTTGCTACCACCAATTTGCAGAACTATGGCACGATGATGCGTTTGACAGGCTCAGCCACTTTTCAGCTTCCTATCGCCTTTCAATAGTTAGTGCTTGCTCTGTTTGATCAATCAATGAAGTACAACTATGGTGTTGATACCTCTTCTTTCTTTGCGTAATACAGTTCTATGATCATCCCGATCGCTGCTCTGACCTGCATGGTTCCAGAGTCGCCTCTATGGCTGATGTTTCATAATCAAGCCTCAAAAGCCCTTGATGTACTAACTTCATTGGAAGGCGCGCAGCCAAATGAAGCCGTAATCCGAGGCAAATTTTTGGAAATGGAAGCCAACGTAATCTACGAAAATTCAATTGAAGATATAGGTTACAAAGTCTTGTTCCAGAACGATGGCCTAAGAACGCGTGAAAGGATGCTAATTGCGTGCTCGGTCCAGTCCTTCCAACAACTTGGCGGAGTCAACGGTAAGTTCATGCAAATCAGACTTCAATAACCAGCCATGGACGTGGATTGCTAAATTTGAATGAACAAAAAAATAAAACTGGATACATTGTTATCGACTTCAGCCATTGTCTACCATGCACATTTCCTGTTTTCTTCATGTCTGGGATTTTCGGAGAAGGCGTCGAGTCTGATATCTGCCTTGTTATTCACCTGGTTTTTCATGGCATCTTTTGTCCCGTGGTGCGTCCCTCAAATAAATCAAAATCGAAAACTTGATCGAGTATAGCCTAGGCAGTATGTGAGGAATTCGAAACAGATTCTGATCTTCACAAATGCAGGTTTTTGATTGACACATTGGGACGTAGAATCTTAATGATTCCCTCTGTGGCAATAATGGGATCAATTTTTGCAGCCTTGGCAGGAATCACCAAGCAAATCGAGGAAAACACTCAAGATTCTGATCGGTACAGGATAGCAGCGGCCGTCTTATCTTTTATTTTCCTAGCAGTATTCTCTATAGGATTTCAAGCCACTGGTATGTTATTTGAAAATGATGAGTTTTGCTTCATGTTTTGAATCATGGTTAATTTGCATCTGCCACAACAATCTGCGTCGCACCAAAGTTTGGTTCTATCCTCCAGAGATTCTTCCCCAGAGGGTTAGGGCTCAAGGAACGGCGATTGCTACAGCTTGCAACTGGGCTTTGAATGTAACGCTCTCCCCATCCTAAACTGTTTCACGATTTTGGAATGCTAACGAGAAAATTGCCCTCTTTCCGCCGAAGTTTTTCGTAGTAGAGTGCTTTCCTTTGGCAACAGAAAAAATGTAATTTTGAGCCACATTTTCACGCGCCTTCTTAGTGGACTAATTTACTTGGTTACTTTAGCGGTTGGAAGACATATCTGATCTTCATGGCGCTCAACATCTTATTCGTCCCAATCATGGTATGTAAATTCTTTCGCAATTTGTAGTTTGATCGGACTGATGACTTATTAGGAATCCTTCTTCTACACAACAAGTTCTTTTACTTTCCCGAAACAAAGGGCAAAACACTTGAAGAAATCGATCTAATGTTTGGAGACACTGTCAGTGCCGAGCGACGTCGCTGTACACTTCATAAAATTCAGCATTCACTCCGTGGGATCGATACACTTGGAGAACATGGCAAGAGCATCCTGGATTACAAAGTTCGCAATGTCCAAACAGATGCGGAAAAATCCGATAGAGGAAACGTTGATGCGACGGCAATTTATTTGTCACACAAGAAGGGGACGATTTCGGTGTCATGAGTGTAGTAGTCAAGCGACTATATGGGACTGGGGGTAATGGATGTGAAGCCTAAAGATGTATTCATTGTATTTTGATTTTGGATTGCAAAAATGAATGTGAACGGAAAGTAATGACCGAGGCATAGCGCGCAGAGTTGAACCAAAATTTGGGATCTGAGGTTTCGGAGTTGTATATTCATTTGTAAAGTCTACGCTAGCAGGGTTGTGAGCTGAATTTGCACATAAAGTGGAACTATGGGGCAGGTGCCAGGCGGCCAGTTCGCGGGTAGGCAACCCGCCCCGTTCCATGCGGTCGTTCCATTGCAGCCTCCCTAATCAAAAAGCAAGGATCAAGATGAGGAGCAGATCTTATATAAAATGACTGGGTTGCGGATGAAGAGATGGATGTGTGCTTGTATTCAAGTTAGCATAACCCGACATCGCTGAATGCGCAGGCAAAAGCCCCTCCGGTAAGGCAGTTTGACTGAAATTATGGAAGAGCACATTGCCGATCAGCTAAATTGAGAATTGTAGGCTGTTTGACGCCGAGTCAAGTGGAAATATAAATAGCCCTACTGACGCCAGCAAGATTTCGACAGAAGGCCCTACATAGATTTTTTTTGTCAAGAAGAAATACGGAACCTCTGTGAGACAGAGTCCCGTCGGGCTCTCGCAAAGCGCAAACAGGACGGCCAAATTTTTGGGAGAAAAATGCCTATATACCGGTGGGAGCACCCTTTTTTCTTCTTCTTCACTGTGTGTGATCATTTATTGAAAACCTAGGTTCAGTTGCTTGAAATTAATCCTTCAAATTGTTACTTCCCCTGGATCTTCTTGGGTGGTCAATGTGTTGATCTCGTCCAGCGAATTCCTTCAAATTAGGATGTACCTGAAAAGAATGAGTATCAGCTGATCCTTCAAGACTTGAGGCATCATATGACTGGTGATGGTTTCAGTACTAGCCCTATGAATAGGTTCCATTCCTCAGTGGGAAATACGGTTGGACAAGTTATGTATCACTCGGATGATAGATAGTCTGATGCATTCTTTGGATCAACTGACCAGAATGAACATGCTTGGTTTAGCTTCTTGGAGGATAATAAAAACAACTGTGGAGGAAGGAATGTGCCCCTTATGTGCCACTCCACCTGTTCATAAGCTTGTAGTGCCTTTGCCACAGCGCAGTATGTAAGTTTGTATTCCCTAACTCTCAAATTAACCTTTTGTCAGGGTGGCCTGCAAGAGGTCCATAAATAATTATAGCTTGAGGTCTTTATCCATACAGACATATCCCACTTGACTACGTACCCTAACGGTGGCTTGACAACTGCTTTCCAGCATAAGGTTTTCCCTCTGGCCCGTCACACAGCCTGCTTGACTTGGCGCTTGAAGCTCGTTTCGGACGGAAAATCCGATCCGAGAGGGCCGACGGACTGAGTTGCTAAAATCGAGGCGTGAAGTGTTCGTTGCCTTGGAGTTGGATCTTCCAAAACTCCGCCCGGCTTGAAGATGATTTACATTGCCATTATGTCTTGGACTCTTTGACTCAATCGGGTCCACTTCCGTCCATGGATTATTTCCTCATTCGGATTTTCTGGCATTTTGTGGGATAAGGTGGACATCTCAATTTCCAGATCGAGAGAGCCTGGGTACGTATCCATGGATCGACTTGCTCGAACAGAGCTTGAGCAAAAATAAATATCTGTTGCGAGTTGGGAGGTTTTTAATAAGTTCCGTCAAACAATCCACAAACACAAGCGCCCCACCAGCAGCGTTCCAGGTCATTCGAGGAATTCTTCCGACTTAACGCCCCCTCCCCCCTCCCCTCCCCCCGATAGCAAGTCAGCCTACATACTTACACTAGCCCAAAAAAGGATACCATCAACTCCCAAAATAAACATGTGGGACGACTTACATGGAAGCCGGTTGATTTTTGTCATCTCTCTCTTGACTGCATTATGTTTCATGTTGATTGGGTATGATAACGGAGTAATTGGTTTGTGAATTAAGATCACTTGGTCAACTCAACTTCCAAGCCAGTGTCTTCGAGTGTCCTAATCACATTTTATTTTTGCTTTTCCAGGAGGGCTTACGAATGCTCCCGCATGGAATAGAACATTTAATAGCCCCACGGGCACCGAACTGTAAGTCAAGTTGTGGCCGAGACCAACCCTCACCTGCTGAATCTAGTTGACATTTATCTTCCAGGTCAACAATAGTTGCTTCTTACGAAATTGGATGTTTTGCTGGTGCAATCTTGGCCTTCGTAGTTGGAGAGAGGCTGGGCCGGAAGAGGAGCATAAGACTGGGAGCCGCCTGGATGGTCGTCGGTGCCGTCCTACAGGCCTCAGCTTTTGGACGTCCCCAGTTAATTGTTGGAAGGATTTTGAGTGGGATCGGCATGGGTGCGTGGTTCTTATCTTGGTTCTTAGCTTCCCTTGGTAGATCCAAATAATCTGATGGATTCTTGACTCTTCTTCGTATCAGGTTGCATTAATTCGACTGCACCAGTTTTGCAAGCTGAGATTAGCCCCAAAGCTACCAGAGGACAATGTAAGCCTTCAGAGGCATCAGTGCACTCCCTGATATCCCCCTCACTGATAGCAAATTCCTACTGTCTCCAGATGCATGCGCTCAACTTTCCACTCTCAACTTCGGAATATTTCTCAGCTACTGGATAGTAAGTAGTTGCGAACTTCCACTCCACAACCATCCCTTTTCTGTTTCAGAACATGAATTATTTCATTTCTTTCATGGCCAATGAGCTTGGATTGCTAAATCATATATTATGTCAACAAACTATCTGAACAACAGGACTACGGGATGACCAAACACTTTTCAGGCTCTGTTTCTTTCAGGTTCCCAATCGCTTTGCAACTGTTTGTGCCAACTGCTTATGTCGATGCGTCTTGGGATGTGAATCAGAAGGCTAACTGAAAAAAAAAATGTTTCAAAGGGCGATGATCATTCCGATATTTATGTTCACCTTTGTAATCCCCGAATCGCCTCGATGGCTTTTCTTTCACGATCGTTCGTCTGAGGGGATGGAGGTACTGTTACGGCTAGAAGAAGCAGATGTCGACCCCGAAGATCCCGTCTTACAGGCTAAGTTCAAGGAGATAGAAGCCACCGTGTTATACGAAAAATCTATTCAAGTCAAAGGTTACAGGGAATTATTCAGGAACGATGGCTCCAGCTCTCGGAAACGATTGTTGATTGCATGCTCAGTGCAGTTCTTCCAACAACTCGGAGGTATCAATGGTCAGCTTCCATCAGCCAATTTGACTCTGAAACTGAAAATGTGCCACAAACTCATGTTTCCATTTTTCTCTTGGCAAATGTCCATTCTCTTGTAAAAATGCAGGTATCATTTACTACGCCAACTTTATCTTCTCAAGCTCTTTGGGCTTTTCGGCCAATACTGCCAGTCTTGTGTCAGGAGTCCTATTCACTTGGTTCTTTCTTGCATCTTTCATTCCATGGTTAGTCACAATTCCCAATAATCAACCAAACTGATTAAGCTTCGTGAGTTATGTGATGAGTCTGACTCGAACCTTTATTTTCCCTTCGCCTTTTCCTTCACACCAGGTTTTTAATCGACACCGTCGGTCGCCGGAAGCTTTTAATCTCTTCCGTTCTCTTCATGGGTTCTATCTTTGCAGTATTAGCAGGGGTCGTCAAGCAAATTGAAGAAAGACCCAACGACTCTTTCGTTTACGGCGTGGTTGCTGCGATTTTCTGCTTCTTGTATCTCGGGGCCTTCACCACTGGGTTCCAGGCAACCGGTACATTTCACTAGCTATACTACTACAGTGGTTTTGATCTTGATACTTACAATACGTCCCATCTCTTGCGTCACACAGTCTGGGTTTATCCTCCTGAGATTCTTCCAATCCGGATTCGAGGAAAAGGAACTGCTCTAGCCACCGCATGTAATTGGATCATCAATGTAAGCCAGTTAAGTCATCCTTTGCTCCATGAGCTGTCGCTGATAACAAAGAAACACTCTTTCACAGTTTGCCGTTGTTCAGGTTTTTCCGCCCGCAGTCGACAAAATGTAAGTTAGACACAGAGCTCCATTCCCTGCTGGCAGGGCTAAATCCATCAATGTCACCACTGACCTTGCCTCTTTTATTTCTCTTCAAAGTGGCTGGAAAACGTACCTCATTTTCATGTGTTTCAATTTTTCATTTGCGCCGATTATGGTAAGTAACAATCCAGACGGAGTTTGCTCTGCAATATGTTTTTCCAAAACAAAACAAAGAATCTCTAGTAATCTGATGGAAACCTATTTTTTGTGTATCCAGTACATTTTCTATCCGGAGACGAAAGGGAAATCGCTTGAGGAAATCGACCTGCTCTTTGGAGATGGTGTCAGTGCGGACATTCGTCACCAAAGTATCTCCCAATTGGCTTCCCCGAAACCGATCGAATCTTCGCTGCCCATGGGCTACCCGGAGAGCCGAAAAAGTACCACCCTCCTCGACCTCGAAGTTTGATATAAGATCAACCTCACCCCCCTTGTCACGATGAACTTCGCCTGTCTATCTATTGATACCTTCCCCTGGTTTCTTTTATTAATTCACTTCTTCTCCCATCTCTCTCTCTATCGTTTCCCTTTTTTTCTCTGTATTTTTACTATCAAGCACTTGGAATAGTTTTCCTCTCTTTCTCTCTCTTTTTCTTTCAGCACATAGATTTTTCTCTCTGATGACTTGTGGATCTTCCCCGTTACCCTTTTGATTTTGTTTCGAAATTTCTCTCATGTCTGATCCCGCTCTATTTTTATTCTATTTTTACAATTCCCGACTTCACTTTTAATTTTATTTTCTGGTTATTTTTTGTTGTCTTATCAAATCAGTTAGTTAGTTTCTGATATTTATGTATTGGGATGATGATTCCCATGCTTCTGTTTGTAAATCAAAGGCCCAAGAAAGCATTCTTATTTTTTCCTTGTACAAATAATCCGTTCTGTCTTGTGAGGCTTTGCTCCGTTCAAGTTTTACCCCTAAGCAGCATCAAAGACACCATTTTTGATCACTTGCTTAAATCTAAACGTGATAGAACAATATAAAAGAGTCAAAGAGTTTCGTTCCATGTGGACTATTTGATCTGTTAATACATTTTGAGCAAACTCACGAAGGTCGAGATTGAAATCTCATGATCAGCTCTAAATCGTTGGCTTCGGCCTACTGGGATCGCCCAAGATTACAGGTGGCCATCATCCCCAACTGTCCCACCTTGGTCACCAAAGGAGGGCGTCTCTTGTCAAATCATTCTTAAGTATCCATATTTTATCCGCGACGTGGGTCTATGATAGGTTGTCTGATACACTATGTTGGCCCGGTTTCACATTGTGGTCTTGATTAATCTTGAAGTGATTAGTTGGTTAGATTGATGCTGATGCAGATGTTGGTACACCCCCAGTGCACATGGACGTCCAAGTGGCAGGGTCCAGGGGACTGGCACCAGGACAGCAGCCCCCACAGACCAGAGCATCCCAGGCGCGTGCTCCTCCCAAAATAAAAGGTCAGCCCTGGGACGTCCTTGTGAGCGTCCATGTGATGCCCCCCCCAAAGCATCCTACTGAC